TTTTTTAATTTTATTTATTTAGTAGAAGAGAGAGGATGTTCATAGAGGTGCAGGGAGTGAGAGGATTCACCAGAGACAGAGTGAGAAATAGAATAGGCAGATGTACTGAAATACACTGCCGAGGGGAGCAGTGGGAGAGGTCTTTGGCGCCAGCATGTGGTTTAACTTCCAGGCTGGCGATTGAACACCTGTTGCAGTGGTTGCTGAGAGCTTAACGGTGCTGACTTTAACCTCTGCACCACTAGAGAGGTCTCCGCTTCCTTTTTGTATTTATACTGCCCCATTCTGTAAGTGGTTATCAGTATCCCCTGGAATCACTAATCTGCTCACTATTTCTATGATTTTATCATTTCAGAAAGTTATATAAATGGAACCATATAACCTTTGAGGTTCACTTTTTTCTTATCAAGCATAAAACCTTGTGAAGTTTGTCCTAAAATACTCCACGTGTCAGATCATTCTGGTAATGTTGAGAAGAACATCATCATCTGCGATGTTCTAGAGCTTGGTCAGCAGTTCACCCACTGAAGGATACTTGGGTTATGCCATATAATAGATTAAACTGCTGAGAATATTTGTGTGTATTTTTTGTGAATGTATTCCCCCCTGCCCCTCCCCTATAAGTGCCAAACTGTTGAGTTTTTAATTCATGTGATAAGTGTATATTTAGTTTTATAAGAAGCTGCCCGTAATTATACATTTAGAGATAAACTTTTACAGCAACATAACCACTATTTGTTATTGTCTCTGCTTTTTTTTTTTAAGCTGTCTGAATAGGTGTGTAGTGATATGTTTTAAGGTTTTAGTTTTTGCTTTCACAATGGCAGTAATGTTGCATGGTTTTTCATGTGCTTATTTGCTATTTGCATGTCTTTTTTAGGAAAATATCTGTTATATCTTTTGCTTATTTATCCCCATATTTTTTTGTTTTAATTTTTTTTCGAACTAAGACTTTGGTTATGTTGGTTGCTTATGTGGATTCCATATATTTTCTTAGTCTGCAGATTGTCTTTTTGGCCTCTTGACCAGGTCTTTCATAGTAAAAACATGTTCACTTTTGATGAAGTTCAGTGTAATATTGTTAGATGCATTACCCTTGTGTCAAAAGAAATTTCTAAGCCTAAGATCTTGAACATTTTCTATTTTCCCTTTCAAAAGTTTTATAGTTTAATGCTTTACACTTAAATCTCATGATGCATTTTGCATTAATATTTGTATACCTGTGGGGTTTACATCAATGCTAATTTATTTATTTTTGTCTATGGATGACCAGTTGTTCAGTACCATTTGTTCAACAAAACTGGTCTTATGATGAATTTCTCTTACATCTTTTTTTCAAAAATTATCATGGCTGGGCTTATGTTTAGTTGTTTGGTTCTCTTTTCTATTTCTATTTCTCTGTCAACACTTTTAAATAATTCTTTTTTTGGCAACTTAGCAAGGAACAAAATTGTCAAATATATAACAGGACACACACACACACATACGTATATATATATATATATATATATACGGTTACCTTTTTAGAGCTCCATTTTGATCTGTCTGTAGTGTTTTTTGGGGGGGGGTGTTTCCATGTATCTGTTTTAATAGTTTCTTTAAGAACTACATTTCAGACAAAATATTATGGTTTGTTAGTATTAATATTTTATAATGTTCTGTATTACTTCCTATTTATAGGATATTGCTTAATAAAGCCAAAAGTGATCTTCAGGTTGGAGCAAGGAAAAGATCCATGGCTATCAGAGGATGACTTTCTGAAGAGGAATTACCCAGGTGAGTTTTGGCATTCTGGCAGCAGATAACCCTGGAAAATGAAGTTCAAAAGGAGATCAAGTGAACATGGCACCTTGGAAGTGTAGAAATGAATAAATCCAACACTACTGGATTTGGAGGGTGTAATCTACAGGATACAGTGCGATCATTTTCAGGTTTCACCTGAGTTTAGGCAACAGTGTATATCATTTACACCCCAAATAAACCAATCAATTAAATAACGGTGTCTAGCTTACCTTGGAAAAAGGAGAGAAAGCATTGTGTAAGAAGATACAGTACAGCTATACTTAGAAATACAGCCATGCAAGTAACGAAATTTTGAAAATCTTTGCACACCATGAAATAAAGCTGGAATGAATCATGGCAAAGGATTGGGAGACTTTAAAAATTTTTTATAGTTCATTAATGTATTTTTATGTTGTTTGAAGATCTTTTCTAACAAGTTTTTAAAGATATATAACATTGGTAACTGGGACAGGATGGTGTTGAAGTGAGGTTAATGTTAGAGCTTTGAAACAGAATAGAGAGCCCAGCTACAGTCACATGCGTTAATAACAGATGATTTGTGAAGAGGGTGACAGTGCAGAAAGCTGCAGTGCCATTTTATGAAAACTGTTTTGCATCCCAGCTTTATACATACAGAACTGGGATACAGGTGAGAGGTACGGGGGGCAGTGAGAGGATTCACCAGAGTCAGAGTGGGGGAGCAGAACAGGAAGATCAACGGAGTACACTGCTGAGGGGAGCAGCGGGTGAGACAGAGGTCTGCTGAGCCATGTGGGTCACCTCCCCGGCCAGGGATCGAACTCGCACTGAAGTGGCTGTGACTAGCTTAGCACTCTACCCTGCTGTGCCACCAGGGAGGGCCCCTCTTGTTCCCTCTTTTAGCTTTTATTCATTTATTTTGGTGTGTGGGTTTCTATTTTAACTCTGTGCAGTTTATCTCATGAATGTTTCTGGAACCTCTGCCACAGTTAAGATACAAAACTGTTACATTATCACAAACTAAATTTCTTGAGCTTCAGTTTGTTTTGTTTTTTAATTTTATTTATTTAGTAGAAGAGAGAGGATGTTCATAGAGGTGCAGGGAGTGAGAGGATTCACCAGAGACAGAGTGAGAAATAGAATAGGCAGATGTACTGAAATACACTGCCGAGGGGAGCAGTGGGAGAGGTCTTTGGCGCCAGCATGTGGTTTAACTTCCAGGCTGGCGATTGAACACCTGTTGCAGTGGTTGCTGAGAGCTTAACGGTGCTGACTTTAACCTCTGCACCACTAGAGAGGTCTCCGCTTCCTTTTTGTATTTATACTGCCCCATTCTGTAAGTGGTTATCAGTATCCCCTGGAATCACTAATCTGCTCACTATTTCTATGATTTTATCATTTCAGAAAGTTATATAAATGGAACCATATAACCTTTGAGGTTCACTTTTTTCTTATCAAGCATAAAACCTTGTGAAGTTTGTCCTAAAATACTCCACGTGTCAGATCATTCTGGTAATGTTGAGAAGAACATCATCATCTGCGATGTTCTAGAGCTTGGTCAGCAGTTCACCCACTGAAGGATACTTGGGTTATGCCATATAATAGATTAAACTGCTGAGAATATTTGTGTGTATTTTTTGTGAATGTATTCCCCCCTGCCCATCCCCTATAAGTGCCAAACTGTTGAGTTTTTAATTCATGTGATAAGTGTATATTTAGTTTTATAAGAAGCTGCCCGTAATTATACATTTAGAGATAAACTTTTACAGCAACATAACCACTATTTGTTATTGTCTCTGCTTTTTTTTTTTAAGCTGTCTGAATAGGTGTGTAGTGATATGTTTTAAGGTTTTAGTTTTTGCTTTCACAATGGCAGTAATGTTGCATGGTTTTTCATGTGCTTATTTGCTATTTGCATGTCTTTTTTAGGAAAATATCTGTTATATCTTTTGCTTATTTATCCCCATATTTTTTTGTTTTAATTTTTTTTCGAACTAAGACTTTGGTTATGTTGGTTGCTTATGTGGATTCCATATATTTTCTTAGTCTGCAGATTGTCTTTTTGGCCTCTTGACCAGGTCTTTCATAGTAAAAACATGTTCACTTTTGATGAAGTTCAGTGTAATATTGTTAGATGCATTACCCTTGTGTCAAAAGAAATTTCTAAGCCTAAGATCTTGAACATTTTCTATTTTCCCTTTCAAAAGTTTTATAGTTTAATGCTTTACACTTAAATCTCATGATGCATTTTGCATTAATATTTGTATACCTGTGGGGTTTACATCAATGCTAATTTATTTATTTTTGTCTATGGATGACCAGTTGTTCAGTACCATTTGTTCAACAAAACTGGTCTTATGATGAATTTCTCTTACATCTTTTTTTAAAAAATTATCATGGCTGGGCTTATGTTTAGTTGTTTGGTTCTCTTTTCTATTTCTATTTCTCTGTCAACACTTTTAAATAATTCTTTTTTTGGCAACTTAGCAAGGAACAAAATTGTCAAATATATAACAGGACACACACACACACATACGTATATATATATATATATATATATACGTATGTGTGTGTGTGTGTGTATATATATACGTATATATATATGTATATGTGTGTGTATATATACGTATATGTGTGTGTGTGTATATATATGTATGTATGTATGTATGTATGTATACACACACTCCTGTCATGTTGTATTCACCACCAACAAAACAGTGAGTGCAGAGTGACAGAAAGTTTCTGGAAGTATCATTTAATTTGAGTGTAGCATTTTTCCTTCATAAAAAATACCCTCTAAATGTGACATTGTTGTATCTACATTTTAGAACTGTACCCATTGGCCCCACATAATAAAAAGACTACTCAGTTTAATGCATCTCATCTCAAGACTAAAAATTTGAAAACCAATGTTTGAGAGAAACTTTTTGATTACAATCAGAATTTCAATTCTTTTAGTTAAATCAAACAACTTATTCCATATCAGACTTTTCATGCTTTGAGGCTTTAGACTATAACCAACAAAGCTAATGCTTTTTATCAAAAGGCTGCTTTATTACAGGGAAAGTATCCACACAAAAGGGAAATGGATGCTCTCACTGTGTAATGACTTAACTGTGTAAATAACAATTGACCCTTATTGTCTCTCTCCAGGTATTCACACAGAAAAAAGTTATTCTGAACTTAAGGAAGATGAACATAGTAAAATTTGGAACAGTTTCAGTCAAGTTACTCAACTTCAGACAGCTGATACAAGAATGGAAAACTTTAGTCAGAAAGCACATTTCAGAGAATATCAGAAAATTCATCTAGAAGTGAAACCTCTTGAATGTGGAAAACTCAACCACAGTTCAGCCATTACAGTACAGCAGAGAACTCAGGAAATAGAGACATCTTGTGATAATATTACATGTAGGGAACCTTTCAGTTTTCAGTCACCCTTCAGTATGCATCAGAGAATTCATGGCAGGAGAAAAGCCTGTGAAAAATCCTTGCCTGTGAGATCATCCATCGTTGTAGAGCAGAGAACTCACACAGCTGAGAAAACCTATGAATGTAATGAATGTGGGAGAGACTTTTTTTGTAAATCATACCTAGTAAGACATCAGAGAAAACATACAGGGGAAAAACCATATGAATGTAATGAATGTGGTAAAACTTTCAGTCGCAAGTCAAGTGTTGGAAAACATCAGACAACTCACACAGGGGAGAAACCATATAAATGTGGGGACTGTGGGAAAACTTTCAGGCGGAAGGCACACCTCACTGTACATCAGACAAATCACACAGGGAAGAAACCCTATAAGTGTGATGAATGTGGTAAAACTTTCAGCTGGAAGTCAAACCTTAGAGAACATCAGAGATTTCACACAAGGGAGAAACCCTATAAATGTGATGAGTGTGGGAAAACTTTTAGCTGGAAGTCTAACCTTCGAGAACATCAAACAACTCACACAGGGGAGAAACCCTATGAATGTAATGAATGTAGTAAAACTTTCAGCAATAAGTCAAACCTTGGAAAACATCAGAAAATTCATACAACAGAGAAACCTTATAAATGTGATGAATGTGGGAAGAATTTCACCCGGAAGTCATACCTTGGACTACATCAGCAGATTCACACAAGGGAGAAACTATACCAGTGTAATGAATGTGGTCAAACTTTCAAGAATAAGTCAGACCTTGGAAAACATCAGAGAATTCACATGGTGGAGAAATCCTATAAATGTGCTCAAACATTTAGCTGCGAGTCAAGCCTTGAAATGCATCAGACAACATGAGAGAGGTGTAGAGATGTATCTGGGAGAGTGTTTACCCATAATGCACATCTTGTAAAACATTTGAGAAGTCACACATAGGAAAAGCCTGATAAGTGATGAATGGGAACACTTTCACCTAAATGTAAAATTTTAAGAGTTACTATGCAAGTGAGTTGAATGTGGGTGTGCTTTCCTTTTGGAAATCAGGCCTCATGGTATATCAGAGCAACTGAGGAACAGACAGTACATGGGAAATGTTTGCAATATAGCTCTAAACTTGTGAGATGTTTCACACAAGGCATTTAATGAATTGCATTTTTAGCATTTAGCCTCACCTGTGCAAACAAAATTTAAAAAGATGTGAAATCCCTAAATGTATAATGGATTTTCAGATACAAACTATAAAAGGAGAGAAAAGATGTTTTCTCAGATTCAGTATGTGGCACTTTGAAAATTAAATCAATAGGGTTGGATTAAGATTTACTTCATATGCATAGGAGGGATCTCACACAAATGAAATGAAAACTGAAAGAGGAGGTCAGCCCTGGAAGCTTATATACCATTTTCATAAAAGTGCAAAGGAGTAATCAAACAAAGGAAAAGGGCTTTGAGGTAGAGGTGGTACATATGGTAAGGGAAATATTCAGGGAATGTGATAGAAAAAAGATTATTTCAGTTAGATATTTCTAGGCAGATTTCTAAAGAATTGTCTCCTCATCATTCAATAGAAAATGGAATGTGGAACACCTTCACAAGAGATTGATATCCTGCTATAGGTAGATGGGGGAGGGGTGAAGAGTGTTTCTGTCTACTGTTTCAGGTTCAGCTCAAGATAATTCTAATATCATACTGCCCTATTTTGGATACTGCTGTATCCCCTTCACGTGATAGCTAAATTTGATAGATGAAGAGATTTCCATCAGTGGCCCTACCTCAGCTTCACCAAACTCTTTGAATATAGTGAATATGGAAAAACTTCATTCAGACATCAAATCTTGCAGAGTTAGTTTTTCCTACTACCCTCTTTACATTCTTGAGCCTACATAAGCCATGAATAGGACTGCTGAAAATTGCCAAGTTATGTGTCACATTCATTGGGTTGGAGAACTGACAACGTCCTCAACAACCATTACCTATTAAGGGCAACTGTTCACTATTACTAGTCATAGAAATGATACGAATTTGTTTTATGTGGGGAGTTACCCTCAGGCTCTACAGATATCCTTTTTTTTTTTTTAAGATTTATTTATTTGTGCATACAGAACTGGGGTACAGGCCAGAGGCACAGTGGCGGCGAGAGGCTTCACCAGAGACAGAGTGGAGAGCAGAACAGGCAGATCGATGAAGTACACTGCTGAGGGGAGCAGCGGCGGGTCAGGAGAGGTCTGCCACGCCATGTGGTCACCTCTGGGGCAGGCGGGAATCGAACTCATGTGGAAGCGGCTTTAGATTCTCAGTGCTGTGCTTTAACCCACTGCGCCACCAGGGAGGGCCTCTACAGATATCCTTTAATCCTCAAGCTTTAACCCACCCACATATCTTTGCCCATACCATTCTGATCATTGCCAAAATCTATTATCATGGGTGCAAAATGACCACTTTGTATTTTATTATTCCTCCTTTGCTTTTTGTGTGTGGAAGAATTCCTTTCTCCAAGTTAAAATTTTTTTTTTAAGATTTATTTATTTATTCATATAGAACTGGGCCAGGCCAGAGATGCTGAGGGTGAGAGGATTCACCAGAAACAGAGTAGGGAGCACAACAGACAGATCAACAAAGTACACTGCTGAGGGAACAGCGGGCATGTCAGGAGAGGTCTGCCTTGCCATGTGGATCTCCTCTGGGGCAGGCAGGGATCGAAGTCATGGGAAGTGGTTTAAGCTTCTTAGTGCTGTGCTTTACCTGCTGTGCCACCAGAGAGGGGCTCCAAGTTTTAAAATTTATGTTACTATGGTGTTGATTCTTTTTATTCTGAACTAGTTATTTTTCATGAAATATTTGAGATAAACCTAGTAGGTTGATTCAGATTCACTCCTGTTTGCTACTGTGTTTCTGATATTTTTGCTCTTAGCAAAGCATTCTTGTTCTGATCATGTTTAATCAACTTTTCTAATACTTTGTATTATAAAGGAAGTATTTCATTTACTCTCTCCCCCCCTAAAAATTGTATACTTTTGAAAGATTTAGTCTTAAGCCTCTAAAATATTTTGAAATTCTGTTTGAAATAGTATTTCATTTTCCTCTCACTCAGGTATACACAAGGTATAACCGACGCAAATAGCTAGCTTAGATTTATTTCTGGGACACTCAAGATACAAACCTAGTGATTTAGTGGCCTTTTCTGCTTTTTGTCTTCACTTGACTATAGAGAGAACATTCCCCAACCCCACTTCATCCTCTGGAGAATGTTATCTGAGCTGAAACATGAATTTCTTCCTGCTATATGGGTCTGTCTTACCTGTCGCTACTATTCCAACAAATGTTAGGATCATCTGAGGACCTGAGAAATTAGATTTCTCCATCCCTTCAGGTTCTTCATGCTGCCGCAGTCAAACAGGAGTCCTGTTTCAGATGATTTTGTAACATTACACTTGACCGCGCTCCATTATACCAGGTCAGTTCCCTTGCCTCTGACAGAATGACCCTGGGTTTGAGTTGGGTCCCAAGCACTGCACATTAATACAATTAATTTGAGTCTACACTGCCTTCTTAGTTAACTGTCTGCATCTGCCATCAACAGACTCTGACCTGATAGCCAGACTGACAGGCAACCCACCTCGAGCTAAGGAGCCCCTGGAGTCTGCTCAGGTAGGTGACTGCCTGCTTCCTCAGGCTTAGTCACTTCTGTATTCTTGGGCCCTGTTCTCCCACGTTGAGCACATATTTTTTCAGTGTCAGGTCAGTAGGAAAAATAACCTGTTCCTAGCCTGCATCTTACAAATGAGTTTGAGGGAGTTTATTAGCTGTTGGTATGCATTCAGATTTATGGCTGTGTGTGGGTCTTTGCATATTTCTAACAGTTTGTGGCTTTTGACTCAAAATTGTCATAGGAATGTGATGATAATACATTAAAAAAATTTTTTTTTTGGAATAGCTTTAAATTTTTAGCTGCTGTTCAGAAGCCTACAGAAGCTTTGTGACTGTCATGGTTAACCCCAAGTCTAGTTGTAGCACTGCCACCTTTGAGGTCACGTGGGGAGATAGAGGTCTATTTTGTTTCCTGAGTACCACCTGGATTTCCAGTTCTCATGGCCATACTGATTCCAGTGACCCCTTTCCGGTCCTGTAAGGAGTGAGGCTGGATTGAAGTGTTCTGGAAATACCCGGGAAAATCTGTCAGTCCTTTCTTACGATGGCTTTCCTTTCTGCTGGATGATAGCTTCTGAGTAGAGGCTGTACACTCAACTAGGAAGATTTTAGTTTAGCACCATTTGGTGTGCAGCTCAGAAAAATACACCTTTGAGAATATCTAAGAAGGTAACTAGAGACTGCTATATCTTTTTATTATCAAGTGAATTCACTTGTACAAACTTGCATTCTGGATGTGTGCGTGTGAATGGTTTATTTATAGGTGTGTCTGTATTCCTTGTGTCTTTGCAAACTTTGAAATTCTCAGTGTTCTTTAAAATGGACTCTTTTAAAATATGCTTTTTTTGGTAAACCAGATTGTAAATCCATATGCAGAAGTTAAGTGTGGCTGCTTAAATGCAACATGCCTTCGGATTTTCAAACAATTGAAAACTCTTACGTGTGCATCAGTGTTTGAGTGTGCATGTTTGTCTGTTTTAGGGATGCAACAATATTGCTGGGGAACCTGTATGCAAGTAAAAATAGACCTTTGGCAGGTGGTTGGGGTTAACATACGGAGCCAGGCTCCATGAGGTTTAGCAGACAACACCTCTGGCTGGGAACTAAGTGGTGCTATCAGATGTCATGCAGTGCTGAATGATTGTAGGCATAATTGGCCATCCCTTATTGAGCAAACTTGATGAACACATGAAACATTTAGTGAAAATGGTGCCTTCAGAGTAGGGACTACATCTTAGGCCCGACAAACTGACCCATGGGTTGAATCTAGCCCATTGCTTTCCTGCAACTTTAAAGGCTCAGAATTTTTTTTTTGTTATGTGATTGAAGAAAGTGACTATTTTTACATATGAAGATGAATAAATATTCTTATCTTTAACATATTACTGGAGTCAACTGTCATCATTTATTTACTTGGTGTCTATAGCCAGCAGAGTTCAGTAGTTGCAAAATAGACACTTTCCTTTGGACCACTTGTGTTGTTTCACACTGCTGCTCATAGTGTTACGAGGACCAGTGACACAGTTAAAACTTGCCATTACTTTGTTTCAAACTGTCATATTGTAGGACTTTTAAAAACTACTGGTATAACTGAAGAAGAAGAGATAAAGGTGGATTTAAAAAGTACAATGGAGTGTATTTGTGTTGAATTAGTTGTTGACTCTTACAAATGAAAATAGTGTCACCATACATATGTCTGAAATATAGGCATGTAGATATTATTATGCGAAGGTTTTATCAACATACTCTCATCTCTTGAGTAAGCAATTGCCAAAATTGGAAAACTAGAATGTCTCATCACAGAATAACTTCACAAAAAATTTGGTTGCTTTGAAATCAAGTTTTCAAATTGCTCATTTGTGAAGTGAGGGAAAACATTTAGTAATATTAGTTAGATTGTATTTTATTACAACAGGTGAAGATGTATGTTCATATTGGAGGGTAGGGGAGATTCAAACTGAAGATTTGTATTTTTATTAGAACACGTAAGAGCTGAGGTCAGTGGAAATAACACGAGCAGTCAAGTAAGAAAAAAGCAGATGACTTAAATGGTTTTCCTTGGCAGTCTTGTGTCAGGATTTGATACCATTACTGCTCTTGATTTACATTTTATTTCAGTGCACCATTTGAAGTGACTGAAGAATTAACCTCTGTGAACCATCTGTATGGAACAACTGCAGTCGAGAATATTGTCAAAGAGTTGGGAAAACTCTTACTTGTTACACTCTGAAACCTAAAGTAGAATGTGCTTAGACGTGTTACAACTGATGGTGACCATCGTATTGTAGAGCAGAAAACTTCTTAGCTGAACTAATTAACAAACCTTGTTATTGTATTATTTATCAAAAGGAACATGTTTAAAATGCTTTGATCTAGCCTGTGTCATTGAGTAGTATGAAAGGTAAACCTTGCCTTGCTCTTATCCCTTATCAGGAGACCTAGAAATTTTTCCAAAAATCAAAGTTGATGATTTCACTTGACACTCACCATATGGCCAATCAGACACTTAGCACCTGTACATATATATTTTGGTTGCTTTTTGGGCTCATATCATTTGAGCTCATGTGAAAAAATATTAAGAATTTTCTTCTGAATGAGAAAAACTGCCCTTGGCACTAATGATGAACTGGGTACCTTTGGAAATTCACTTTGTTTGATGATCTGGTTTGGCTGAACTTAATGTTACGAGGCAAAACTACTTACATGTTAATCATATATATTGGTTCAAACAACAGATGTTTGATTCATAATATCTAGCCACACTATAAACTGTGTGGTTGAAATTCAAGCAACAAGGAATATTCCCATTCCCACATTTTATAATCTGAAACTTCTGTTGAAATTTTCTTGGGCATTGATGCATGTGTAACAACATTCATTAAACTTTGCAGTTTGAGCAGCTGTTAAGTTTTTATTGAAAATGATTATTCTACAATATAACAGCATGTTGAGAGTCAAATATCTAGAGAACAATCAATTCTGTAAATGTCTTCCTAGCACTAAATATGCTCAACTAGTCATATACTTTCACTTGGGACTTGGTGATATGTATTTGCTTAGGAAGGCATTTTGAGGAAGTATATTGTGTGAAGTCTCATCAGCATTAACAGGTAGAGAGTTGCAGTTCATTTTGATGATAGCCAGGCAACTTTGAACTCCAATTGATTGTAGAATTTCATTCTGCATAGTAGGTCCACGTCATATAAACTTGTACTCAATAGTTTTAACCTTAGAACTGAAGATTAACAACTAACTTTTGTTCTCATTATTTATATACTAGTTTTCATTTGCCTCCTCTTCCATAAAAGTCTAAGCTATTTTCTGACATTTACAAAAAGTTTATCAAGGTGTTGCTGCAGTGAAATGATGGTACCTTAAAATTATTTCAAGACTGTAACAGTGCTACAAAAGAGTAAGTCAGGCCTGATCCTAAA